TAGAGCTTATGGCAGACAAAAACTGACTTTCATTAACTTCAAAATAAGTGAAACCAGTGAAACCGTCGTTTTTCACATACTCAGAAATGTGAGTGAGTGAGTGAGTTTGGTTTAACGCCGCTTTGAACAGTATTCCAGTCATATCGTGGCGTGTCAGCTTAATGTGGGAGGAAAGCCCGAAGTGATGCAGATTTCAGACGTTTACCAGTTCGGTGAAACCCACGGGCACGGGTATGGTGCTGACAAACCTAGAAACATAATGGGGGCGAACCGGGATTCGAACCAACAAACAAAGGTTTCTGGCGTGCCCAAGGGACGCAACTCTGCACAGCGAATCGCGGCGCCTTAGACGACTGGGCCACCCATGCCCCCCCTTTTCCGTATATGGACAATGGGAGTGAAAACGCAGAAAACTCATCAAAACGGATAAATCTAAAACATGTCGCAATGGGCTGCCAGGCTCGCAGACTTGGTTGATGCATGCCATTGTATTCCAATGGCTTTGATCGATGGTCGTGATGTCAGGCACTGGATTGCCTGGTTCAGAATCGGTTAGTCACACACCGCCGATATACCTGGAAGGTTGGTGAGTGCGGTGTTAAACAACTAACAATGCATTCTATTGTTCATCCACCCTATTCTGAAGTAGGTTCTAACATTCCATCATGTGACAGATCCTGTGCAATTGTCCGTTTGTTAGATGAACACAACACTAGATGAGTCTCAATCCTGTGAATAACAGGGGTATTAACCTCTACATAATGAGTTGCATCTTTGTTCCTAAGTTTGTCCAGATGTTATTCTTAACAGAATATTCCTGGGACAGAGGGACGTTTATACAGAATATCACTGGGACAGAGGGACGTTTATACAGAACATCACTGGGACAGAGGGACGTTTTACAGAATATCTCTGGGACAGAGGGACGTTTATACAGAACATCACTGGGACAGAGGGACGTTTTACAGAATATACCTGGGACAGAGGGATGTTCTACAGAATATCACAGGAAAAGACTTGGGACTGAGGGACGTTTTACAGAATATCTCATGGATAGGGGTACGTTCTACAGAATATCCCTGGGACTGAGGGACTTTTTACAGAATATCTCATGGACAGAGGGACGTTCTACAGAATATCCCTGGGACAGAGGGACTTTCTACAGAATATCCCTGGGATAGGGGGACGTTTAACAGAATATCTCTTGGATAGGGGGACGTTCTACAGAATATCCCTGGAATAGGGGGACGTTCTACGGAATATCCCTGGGATATGGAGACGATCTACAGAATATCCCTGGGAAAGGGGGACGTTCTACGGAATATCCCTTGGACAGAGGGATGTTCTACAGAATATCCCTGGGACAGAGGGACGTTCTACAGAATATCCCTGGGAAAGGGGGACGTTCTACAGAATATCACTGGGATAGGGGGACGTGCTTCAGAAAATCCCTTGGACAGAGAGACGTTCTACAGAATATCACTGGGATAGGGGGACGTGCTTCAGAAAATCCCTTGGACAGAGAGACGTTCTGCAGAATATCCCTGCGACAGAGGGACGTTTTACAGAATATATGCCTGGGACAGAGGGATGGTCTACAGAATATCCAATGAAAGACTATGCAATGTGGGATATTGTAAACCTGTCGAAAGTGTGTTCTGTGTTGTGATTGGCTAATTTGGGTCACATGACCAAATGTCAGAGGGTGAAAATATGATTTGAATTCCCTGAAGCAAGCGACCGAATCACTGTGTAGGAATACATAATTACTCAGCATTTTTTGCATACTAATTAACAATGGAAATACAAAATTCATAACAAATATTTTGATTTTCTCTATTTATGGGAATTATTGGGATTATTGAAATAGTAACCAAAATCACAATCACCATAGCGACTAACGCGCTCCTGGCGAATCTTGAGATATCACTGTTCTGTATATCAAACGGCATAAATAAAAATCCAAGACCAAGCCAATTCTTCAAGAAATGTGTGCATATAATTTAACGAAAAATAATATCGATTTTGGTTAAGTTATATCGTCAGTTTTAGCTATAAAATAAAATGAAACGGCTATTCATCGACACTATTTATATGAACTTATAATATTGACTATAACACTCCCTAGAAATACATACAAGATGAAATGTAAATGTACCTGTCACACGTACACTTGTTCAAATTAAAGAAATATCGTATACGACACTATAAACTTATCAACTTCATATGTGAACATTGTTCAAACAAACAGGAGATTATCAAACGTTCATATAATGTTGTGGCCTATATCTACGTATGATATCATATTGAACATTGATTAATATCCAAAGTGAAATTAATTGTGTGAAAAAAATGTACAAAAGATATGCAAGATCTTCATCATGAAACAGTAAAAAGCAGTTAACAATGATCGTTTGTACTTTCATTCAAGGACCTTCACCTCAGAGAAATTACCAAATATGTAGAACAAATATGTTGAAGTTTGACATCACTACCGGTGACCGAATTTTACAAAATGGCGTGTTGACTGTCAACAGTGCGCGGGATTTTACGAGGGGACTTTCGTTGATTCAGGGTTCGTATATACATAAATGTGACATGTAAGTAATCAGAAACATTCTGACAATCTGTGTACTGTTTTTTGTTGCTGTATTTTTCATTGAAACCAACGAAAATAGTCAGAAATTCTGATAAATACCGTTGTCGTTGTGCGTGATTTTGCGTCAGTCATGGCGTCACACAGGACGGGAACTTCGACAAGTTCTGTTGAAAATATCAAATTATTGCAATGTATATATGTTTAATTCCCTAATTCTTCCTACGATTCTCTTCCCGTGTATATTCTGAAAATGCAGATCTCGAGCCAATGTACTCAACGAATAGACGAATGGCTTTGTTTACATTTCCAACAAGTGCAGTTTTTTCAGCGTTCGTTTTCACACCTCATTTATTGTGCTTCATTACATCTAGACAATTTGTATTGGTGACAAAGACCATTTGGCATTTGATTCTAAAATGTATGAGGAATTCAAGGATGTAGGTATCGCAGCTGAAATATACGTGATGGTATTTGCGTCTCATTACCGGTGTACGTTATTACCAAAATCACAATCACCATAGCAGCGACAGAACGTTCGATGTTGACGCCTCACAACCGAGTAAGTACGAGGTGTTAAAGAGTGCGCATGTTTTTTTTCTAAATAAAACAATAGGTTTAACGCTTTCGGGTCTCGAGATGAATTTCCAAGATGCAAATACTCGATAAAATCCTGGAAATAGACACATAGTATTTATCTTCTAAAAGGGACCGTCTACCGAATATCCTTGGGACAGAGGGACGTTTTTACATAAAATCCCTTGGAAAGGGAGACGTTCTACAGATTATCCCTGGGACAGAGGGAAATGGGGACGTTCTATATAATATCCCAGGATTAGGGGGACGTTCTACAGAATATCCCTGGGATAGGGGGACGTACTACAAAATATCCCTGGAATAGGGGAACGTTCTACAGAATATCCCTGTGATAGGGGGATGATCTACAGAATATCCCTGGGAAAGGGGGATGTTCTACAGAATATCCATGGAATAGGAAGAGGTTCTACAGAACATCCTTGGGACAGAGGGACGTTTTACCGAATATCTCTGGGACAGGCATTCGTTCTACAGAATATCCCTGGGACAGGGGGACGTTTATACAGAATATCCCTGGGATTAGGGGGACGTTCTACGGAATATCCCTGGGACAGAGGGACGTTTTACAGAATATCTCTTGGACAGGAAGACGTTCTTGAAAATATCCCTGGAATTGGGGGACGTTCTACAGAGTATCTCTGGAACAGAGGGATGTTCTACGAAGGAACGGGCTTTCAACACAATATCCCTGGAACAGACGCGTTTTTAACAGAATGTCCCTCGGACAATAGACAATATAATCTGGGACAGAGGCACGTTCTACAGAACATATTCAGATGTAACATCTACAGAATCCGAAATGAAGACCCGTAAAAACAATCGGATGATTTCACTAGAGGCTTACAATAACTTTCGGTGAGACGATGTAAGGTTATGTGAAATGAGTTTTCACGTCGCGTTCAAATGTATTGCACCTGTTTAGCGCATGTATGTGCGTTTGCGTGTTTGCGTGTCTGGCTGCCTGTACTATTTGGGACTTATTTTGGACGGTTTTTTACCGTTGTTAAGGGTTAGCCCTCTGAGATAACATCTGGCAGTTTGACAAGGAAACCCCACTCAGACACAGTGTACTGACTCCGCATACCAGTCCGTGTTCTAGCCCCGTGATTCATATTGTTGTATTTCACGATTACAGGATGACGCGGACCAAATGAAATTATAAAGAGATAACATTACAAGTTCCAGGAAGTTCAGAAACGCTCTGCTGTCTTGACAAGACTTACTGGCTTAAGGAAACAATGGCATTGGCATGTCAGCCATGCCTACTGTACTGAACGCTTTACTGAGACTTTGGAACCGTTACTAGGCACTATCCATGACCTGCCTTGAGCTGAAAACCAGGGCTGACCACGCCCGTCCAGGACCTCATACAGATTACACACAATGATGATGATGATGATGATGATGATGATGTTTTGACGGTAATGCTGATGATGCTGATGATGCTGATATGTTTTCCCATAGACTTCTATAGTAACGTTATATTTTTTTTAAATAATTAAGCATTCAACAGTTATTACCTGTACGTGTGTGCACAGTTTGGCCTTAGAGCATTAATAAAAACAAAAAAAACGACTAGCTTAGCCAGCTGCTTTTCCGAGTACAGGAAGCTAAACACAACACCCCCAGTTCCGCATCAAATGTCACCTACTTGAAAATACCTGTGGTCACATTCAGCATAAGGCATCATGTTGAAAAGACAGTACTAAATATAGAAAAACATGGTCAGCTTTAATTACTACAGGGATGTACATTTAAAATATATAACAATCTTACACAATATCGTCCAATCACAGCCTGCAGATACCTTTCGATCTGCATTAAAGGCTGCACTGAACGGCACAGTCACAACTGGTTCTGATTTTGTGTAGTTGAACCTCAAACGGAATTGACGGGTCCTGGTGGACTTCTTGGACAGGATGGGGACAGTGGTATTTGTCAGACACGGTGGTTCCCATGGGCGCATCTACCACAGCAGAGTATAAAGGGTTTGGACAGAGCATCTACCACAGCAGAGTATAAAGGGTTTTGACAGAAAATGCTGATCATGAAGTTTTACCTGTTAACATTCCTTAAAGAGTTAGTTTAGATGCTTCCCATGAACAGATGGTTACACATCTTTGTGAAATAGGAGAACACACAGAACAGGACGAGTGAGTGAGTGAGTGACTGAGTGAGTGAGTGAGTGCGTGCGTGCGTGCGTGCGTGCGTGCGTGCGTGCGTGCGTTGGGTTGAGTATTCCAGTTATATCACGGCGTGTCAGCTTAATGTGGGAGGAAAGCCCGAAGTGATGCAGGTCTCGGACGTTTACCAGTTCGGTGAAACCGACGAGCACGGGTATGGTGCTGACAAACCTAGAAACATAATCGGGGCGAGCCGGGATTCGAACCCACAATCATAGGTTTCTTGCGTGCCCAATGGACGCAACTCTGCACAGCGAATCGCGGCGCCTTAGACGACTGGGCCACCCGTGCCCCCAAGAACAGGACGAACATGAAATTGAAGTTCAAGGTGATGAGATAGAAAGTGATGAAAAGGAAATCTGCAAAGCCAGGACAGCTGCTCATGTTTGGGAGAAGACACAGGAATCTCCTGTACGGTGTAAGTTTTGTGTCGAACCGTTAAGGCTACAGGACAATATAAGACTTATTACAACATTGAATAGTTGCAGCCAGGTGTGGCAGCTGGGACAAAGGGATCTATGGACATTAAAAGGTCTTCAGCAACCCATGCTTGCCGTATAAGGCGACTATTGACATTAAAAGGTCTTCAGCTAGCCATGCTTGCCGTATAAGGCGACTATTGACATTAAAAGGTCTTCAGCTAGCCATGCTTGCCGTAAAAGCGACTATGTATGCGACAGAGACGACTAATGGGATCGGGTGGTCAGACTCGCTGGGACTATTGACATTAAAAGGTCTTCAGCTAGCCATGCTTGCCGTAAAAGCGACTATGTATGCGACAGAGACGACTAATGGGATCGGGTGGTCAGACTCGCTGGGACTATTGACATTAAAAGGTCTTCAGCTAGCCATGCTTGCCGTAAAAGCGACTATGTATGCGACAGAGGCGACTAATGGGATCGGGTGGTCAGACTCGCTGGGACTATTGACATTAAAAGGGCTTCAGCTAGCCATGCTGCCGTAAAAGCGACTATGTATGCGATAGAGGCGACTAATGGGATCGGGTGGTCAGACTCGCTGGGACTATTGACATTAAAAGGTCTTCAGCTAGCCATGCTTGCCGTAAAAGCGACTATGTATGCGACAGAGGCGACTAATGGGATCGGGTGGTCAGACTCGCTGACTTGGTTGATGTATGTCATTGTATCCCAATTGCGTGGATCGATGCTCGTGATGTCAGTCACTGGATTGTCTAGCCTCGATTATTTAAAGACCGCCGTCATATATCTGGATTACTGCTGAGTGCGGCGTTAAACAACAAATAAACAAACAAACAAACATTTATGAAATATGGTCCCTAGTGACACTTTCTTTGTGTACCGGTAAGCAGTTGTTTCCCAAAATGAGAACGGGTGAGGTTTGTCAGCTCAATCGTGACTGTGTTTAGGACACATATTATAGGTGAGGTGAGGTGAAATTGGGTTTAACGTCGCGTCCAAGATCATTGCACTTATATAGCGATGTGCATGCACGTGTGTGTGTGTGTGTGTGTGTGGCTGCTTGTACTAGAACGGACTGATGCCGATTTATAGTGCTAGCCCACTGAGATACCATGGAAACAATGATGTTGGGTTTCTGGGATAGAAAAGGTCCCCACGGCACGTTTGCCACTTTCAGATCACCATGAAATATATGGATTAATTCTCGCTGCAGTGTAACTTACCGTGTGTTTTATTTAACGAGTTGTGTTACACGTTATGAGGAAAATAATTTAATCCTATTGTGAAAATATTTACTGCTTCAGAATTATTGCATTTATTATATACACCTGTCCCTGAGGCCCCCTTCCGATCATACGTTGTGAATTCTGAATAAAATCATGAATAAATATATTGTAACAGGTTACACCTAACAATTGAATGAACTGTTATCATGACTGTATTCGGGACAAAGGTTATTATAAACGTTAGATCAGCAATCCACATGTAAAGGAAAAATGAATAGTGCAGACTAGTCATGTACAGCCTACACCGACTTCGTGTACACCAAACACTGACATCGTGTACACCCTACACCGACATCGTGTACACCCTAGATCGACATCGTGTACACCCTAGAACGACATCGTGTACACCCTACACCGACATCTTGTACAGCCTACACCGACATCGTGTACACCCTACACTGACATCGTGTACACCCTAGAACGACATCGTGTACACCCTAGACCGACATCTTGTACAGCCTACACCGACTTCGTGTACACCAAACACTAACATCGTGTACACCATAGAACGACATCGTGTACACCCTAGAACGACATCGTGTACACCCTAGACCGACATCTTGTACAGCCTACACCGACTTCGTGTACACCAAACACTAACATCGTGTACACCCTAGAACGACATCGTGTACACCCTAGAACGACATCGTGTACACCCTAGACCGACATCTTGTACAGCCTACACCGACTTCGTGTACACCAAACACTAACATCGTGTACACCCTAGAACGACATCGTGTACACCCTACACCGACATCGTGTACACCCTACACCGACATCTTGTACAGCCTACACCGACTTCGTGTACACCAAACACTGACATCGTGTACACCCTACACCGACTTCGTGTACACCCTACACCGACATCTTGTACAGCCTACACCGACATCTTGTACAGCCTACACTGACATCTTGTACAGCCTACACCGACTTCGCGTACACCAAACACTAACATCGTGTACACCCTAGAACGACATCGTGTACACCCTAGACCGACATCTTGTACAGCCTACACCGACTTCGTGTGCACCAAACACTAACATCGTGTACACCCTAGAACGACATTGTGTACACCCTAGACCGACATCTTGTACAGCCTACACCAACATCGTGTACACCCTAGACCGACATCTTGTACAGCCTACACCGACTTCGTGTACACCCTACACCGACATCGTGTACACCCTACACCGACATCGTGTACACCCTAGAACGACATCGTGTACACCCTAGAACGACATCGTGTACACCCTAGACCGACATCTTGTACAGCCTACACTGACATCGTGTACACCCTACACCGACATCTTGTACAGCCTACACTGACATCTTGTACAGCCTACACTGACATTGTGTATACATTACACCAAAATCGTGTACACCCTAGACCGACATCTTGTACAGCCTACACCGACTTCGTGTACACCAAACACTAACATCGTGTACACCCTAGAACGACATCGTGTACACCCTAGACCGACATCTTGTACAGCCTACACTGACTTCGTGTACACCAAACACCGACATCTTGTACAGCCTACACTGACATCTTGTACAGCCTACACTGACATTGTGTATACATTACACCAAAATCGTATACACCCTAGACCGACATCTTGTACAGCCTACACCGACTTCGTGTACACCAAACACTGACATCGTGTACACCCTACACCGACATCGTGTACACCCTACACCCACATCTTGTATACATTACACCAACATCTTGTACACCCTATACCGACATCGTGTATACATTACACCAACATCTTGTACAGCCTACACCGACATCATGTATACATTACACCAACATCTTGTACACCCTACACCGACATCGTGTATACATTACACCAACATCTTGTACACCCTATACCGACATCGTGTATACATTACACCAACATCTTGTACAGCCTACACCGACATCATGTATACATTACACCAACATCTTGTACACCCTACACCAACATCGTGTATACATTACACCAACATCTTGTACAGCCTACACCGACATCATGTATACATTACACCAACATTTTGTACACCCTACACCGACATCGTGTATACATTACACCAACATCTTGTACACCCTATACCGACATCGTGTATACATTACACCAACATCTTGTACAGCCTACACCGACATCGTGTATACATTACACCAACATCTTGTACACCCTACACCGACATCGTGTATACATTACACCAACATCTTGTACACCCTACACCGACATCGTGTATACATTACACCAACATCTTGTACACCCTACACCGACATCGTGTATACATTACACCAACATCTTGTACAGCCTACACCGACATCGTGTATACATTACACCAACATCCTGTACACCCTACACCGACATTGTGTATACATTACACCAACATTCTGTACACCCTACACCGACATTGTGTATACATTACACCAACATCCTGTACAGCCTACACCGACATCGTGTATACATTACACCAACATCCTGTACACCCTATACCGACATCGTGTATACATTACACCAACATCTTGTACAGCCTACACCGACATCGTGTATACATTACACCAACATCCTCTACAGCCTACATCGACATCGTGTATACATTACACAAACATCTTGTACAGCCTACACCGACATCGTGTATACATTACATCAACATCTTGTACAGCCTACACTGACATCGTGTATACATTACATCAACATCTTGTACAGCCTACACCGACATCGTGTATACATTACACCAACATCTTGTACACCCTACAGCAACATCTTGTACAGCCTACACCGACATCGTGTGTACATTACACCAACATCCTGTAAACCCTACAGCAACATCTTGTACAGCCTACACCAATATCGAGTACAGCCTACAATGACACCGTGTATACATTACACCAACATCTTGTACACCCTACACCGACATCGTGTATACATTACACCAACATCTTGTACAGCCTACACCGACATCCTGTATACATTACACCAACATTCTGTACACCCTACACCGACATTGTGTATACATTACATCAACATCTTGTACAGCCTACACCGACATCGTGTATACATT